GATACTTTTTACTGTTTTCAAACACAAATATTTGTGTTCAGCGAAGTCTCCCGAGTACAACAGTACCCCTCATGTACAGGTTTTATGGTGTTTTCAAAAGTTACAGCGTCGAATATAAGGCTTGCGTTTCATTTTTTTCACATTAAAATTCGCCAGATTGGTTACGTTGCCTTTGAGACCCTATGGTAGCCCAAGAATGAAAATAACCCCTATGATGGCATACCATTTGCAATAGTAGACAACCCAAGGTATTGCAAACAGGGTATGTCCAGTCTTTTTTAGTAGCCACTTAGTCACAAACACTGGCCAAAATTGGCGTTTTTTGCATTTTTCACACACAAAACAAATACTAACGCTAACTTTGGCCAGTGTTTGTGACCAAATGGCTACTAAAAAAGACTGGACATACCCCATTTGCAATACCTTGGGTTGTCTACTATTGCAAATGGTATGCCATTATGGGTGTAAATTTCATTCCTGGGCTACTGTAAAGTCCTAAAGGCAACGTAACCAATCTGGCGAATTTCAATTTCAAATGTAACGTGCTATATTTGACCCTGTAACTTCCCAAAACGCCATAAAACCTGTACATAGGGGGTACTGTTTTACACGTGAGACTTTGCTGAATACAAATATGTGTATTTTATTGCAGTAAAAGCAAACAGTATTATGACATTGACCGTTAAAATGTCATGTAGAACTAAAAAAATCAAAAAATCTTATTTTCTCCCATTTTTTTCATATTAAATTATGTTTCATAGCTAAATATTTGATATTAAATGAAAGCCCTGTTTCCCCTGAATAAAATGATATATAATAAGGGTGGGTGTATTTACTATGAAAGAGGTGAATTACGGTTGGACAGACATGTAGCGCAAATGCCAGGTTTTGTTTACATTTTGTTTCGTTCACGTGTACATTTGGCTCCATCCTTAAGGGGTTAAATTGCTTACATGGCTAACAATAGGTCATAAGATCACCATAAAATGTTCTGTACCCTCCCACCACAACATACCACCATATAAAAATAAATTGCCCCATTGGTTATTTGAAATGTAGGTAAATCTGTTTTGTATTTTTTGTTTCCTGTGACCTAAAGAGTTAATTGACTCGGTATCTGCTTGGGATAGTTTAGCTGGAAATGAAGCTCTGTTCATTTGTTTTTCAGATGCTCACATACAGTTTCTCCCTTCTTCTAAAGAACTGAATATCTCCCAGCCGTTCCCTTTTTAAACTATCTTAACAGATATTTAACAAAAGATCAAATCACACCCTACATACCGCACACGCAGTGAAAACATTGCCGAGAAAGGATGGGCTATTAAACGGCACATGGGCTACAGAAATATAAACAAACTAAGAGACATAATGTACATGTTTTATTGAATAGCACTGCTTCTATTACACAGAAAGGAGCTATCACTCTATATGTCTTCCCAGCATTCAATCACTATCTGTGAGACCCCTACATCTACACACTTAAAGCTTTGCAACTGATGTACAGAATGCATTATGTTAGCCAACTAAATCATTGAATGATTTACAAATCAACAAATTATCGAGGTCCTAATCCCAGGTATACAGGTATATCATGAGTAAAAGTGCCTTAAAGGAAATAGATCAGAAAAGTAGAAAATAGTTAACAGCAGCGGGTGCTTTGGGACGTCTATTGGCACAGAGCTTCAGGACTGAGTCAGTAATGTGTGGTTTTGTGCATCGGCTGGTGGCCCACAATATCAATGGTCTGCACTGGCCTGCTAGGATATTTCTCAGTTGATTGCAATATCTCTGGCTGACAAGGCTACCACTGTACAATGAGTACGTATGATGTCTTTGGAGGGGTCTATGAGTGACCTCGGAGGTGGGATGAGATAGTGTTCATTAAATACCTGTTGTCATTGGTGGCTATGAAGTTGTGGGAACCAGTCTCTGAATCCCTGTGATTCCACCATCATGCTGTGCAGGTCATACTGGTGGAGTTTGCAGGGATATATGGCAAGTTCTTCGTGAGTAGGGACAGATCTGTGGGTATTGATCTCCAAACCAAACGTTGTCATCCCCCTGCCTTCTCAAATGTTATTTCTATTTTGTAGGAGCCCTGAATGCACCTGGTCTATTAGAAAATCACAGAGCTCCACTGTAACAAAGCTTACTGTAAGTAGCACTATTCGATTTACTTTGAATAAATGCAACTCTTTATTCTCTGTGAGCTACGCTGTGAGCTATCAAAAGGTTATGAAGTCACAAAAAAATCCTGGACTGTTTTGCCCCATAGAAAACCCAACTAAAACACAGGTGTTCTCCTTTGTCTGCTTAGAAAACATTAAACAATGTTGGTGGTTGTGCTTAGTGTTTGTTTTGTTTCATTTTATTTCTTTTCATTTTTTTTTTGCAAGGCTATATAAATTAACCTGTCGTGCACAGAAAAAAATATGGTCAATACAATTTGGAGTGAAAAAATACACGTAAAAGACGTCATTAATTGAAACCGAGCATTGGTTTTCTTAATATTTATTAAATATTTCAATAGAAATATAGCCTTAAGTTACAGAGCAAAATAACAAAAAATGCAAAAACAACAACAAAAAAACATAAAATAGTTTAAAATGATTACTATTACAATAATTTCTGGGGTTTTTTTCCCATTATTGTGATATGAACAGACATACATTAAAAGATATTCTTATCTGAAGACTGACTAGTGATAACCTGATTTTCTGGAACTGGTGCATTGTTTATAGGTGATAGGTCTAAGATTTCTTAATAATAATAATAAATAATATTTAGGATTTGAAAAAAACAAAAACGTAACCCTCACAATTTGAAGCTCCAAGTGTGCATTCTAAATTTTGCCCAGAGAGCTCTAAATGATTAGACAAGGCCACCAATAGCTCTGGGGCCTCAGGCAGCAAATATTTGCAATAACTTTTCACATATCCAAAACCTCCTGTGCCCTATCACAGTTCACTCTCTGTTTGATCCACACAAAAGGTCAGAAAATAACTGCAAAGCCCCAAAACGCAAGGGGCCCTGTGACGGGGAATCTGTTTGTCTTTGTTTTATGGTCAGCCTATTCAGGGAAGCAAATATGAAATAAGCATATAATATTTCCAAAGACTTCTATATTGGTACCATACTACCATTGCTTCAAAATAGCAACCTGAAGAACGTTCAAAAAGCTCACTCATTGGATTTTGTCCTTCTGTTCAATTCATAAAAACAGGAATAAAATTTCACAACTCAGATTGGAGAGTTAGTCTGTCAGGGTTAATTACTAAAGTGAGGATTCAAAGTGAATTTTAAAATTAAGGACAGAATAGTTTAACCAAAAGCATAGCTGACAAATTTTTTTAGTTTCAGCTATTTTGTTCTTAAATTTAAAATTCACTTTGAATTAACACAGTAAAGGCGTTTACGCATGCGTGGGATAGGAATAAGGCTATCCTAACTATAAGATAAGGCCAAGGACTAATGAAAGTATTTAGAAAATTGGGCAGACTAGATGGGCCGAATGGTTCTTATCTGCCGTCACATTCTATGTTTCTAATATGTTTCTAATTAATTTAGTAAATAACCCTGTTAGTGTGAGAAGATTGAATAAGAAAATGAATCTGTAAACTATTTCTCATTCTAAAATAATAAACAAAAATAAATGTTTTAGGATGTTGAACTGCCATCTGTGTTATGTTGAAACCAAACATAATTTTTTTAGATGTGCCAAAAATAGTAAATGTTTCAAAGGTCGGGGCACTGAACTGCATTTGTGTGAATTTCTTTAAAAAAAAAAAAAAAAATTGTGTGTGTGTGTTCAGTTGAACATAAATAATGCATGCTAATGAACGCAATGTTAGTTAAAAAAAAAAAGGGGTTGGCTGCACTCACCTAAACATGCTTAAATGGGGTGCTGCCGGCTGAGATCGGGGGCCTACCTGGTATACCGCACAGCAAGGCCTGCACCGGACCTACTAGCACTAACAGCCGCCTTGTCAAGCCCGTTTCTGACCAATGGGGAAACCCCCACCGGGAACCGAGCAACATGGGCCGAAGATCGCAGAAACCTCCACCGGGAGCTAACAGAGACTCCCTAGACATCAGTACCATGCTGCAACGCCCAACGGCTTCCAAAATGGCGATCGCACCAGACAGTGACAACTATCTGGAAGACCCAGAGGAGACATCAGAAAATGTGAAAGAACCCCAACAGACACACTACCCCACAGCAGATAGACGAGAAAACCTAAACCCAGCCACTAAGCAAGATATTGCAGACTCTCTCCAAGGAATGCGGCAGATGCACGCCGCGGATCTGGACTCGATCAAGACAGAGATACAAGCGGTGACCGCACTCACGCAAGCCTCGGAGGAAGATATTCAAGATCTCCGAAAAGAGGTACAAGGTCTAAAAGAAACGGTTCAACACTTGCAGACCTCCACAGAGGAGAAATTACTCCATTAATTTCTAAGTCAAAAAAGGTCTTTGCCTTGAGTGAATTGTGGAAAGGGCGAAAATGCCGGAATCGATCCGAGGGTGGTGGTGCTCAAATCCCAGCTGCTAAGCAGAAATCACGACAGAGAGACTTATGTTTTAGATACATATCTTCATATTCTGGTGCATCCAGATCACCACTGTTTCCTTCAATTTGCCTTTCAGTGCCAACACTACCAATTTGTCTCCTAGCCGTTTAATCTGGCCCTGACTCATAAGGTGTTCAGTTTCTTTGTGCCCAGATAGCTTGATGAGTTCTTTGGGAATTGTCCTGTAACTGGATGATATTATAGAATATGCACCAATTATGACCTGGAGGTGTAGCAGACCCAACAGTATGTCTACTTCTTAGTCGAGCACTGTAAATACATCAGCCTTCAAAATAGCACACTGATGTCTCATATGTATGTTTAGTGTTAGGACCAAGGATTGATTCTGGTCTCTATGGTCTCCATCGAGATATAACCTATATCTTCGGGCTGTTTGCTTGGAGAAGATATGCTCCACTTGTTCTTGGTTAAAGACTCTGCCTTTGGTGGATTGCCTGGCGGTGAATTGCATGGAGGTCCTGGACCCTGTGACGGCATCCTTTGACGCAGTTCCATTGGCTAAGTTTTACTTGTGTCCCTTTGGAGGGGATAAAAATTATGGGGAAGTCTTGCATTCAAAGCTTTTTTGGATATGGTCATTGAGACTTTGCTTCAGGCTTGCAAGCATGCAACCACTCAGACAAGGTGTGGCATAAATACTGCAACAGAACCTTGCAGGCAGGTTCACTATCTAGCTATAGCTAACGTCGTATCCAGTGATTACAGGTCAACAAAAATCTTTCCTTTAAATCAGTATGAGCAAAGCAGCCAACTGGGATCCACCAAGGGTTTATTCACTAAAACGAATGAAGTGTGATAAATGGAATTCTGATAAATCCCCAATCTCCATTGAAGCAAAAGAGGATTTAACTTGGTAGGGGGACTAACTTGGTGACTAGCACTCCAGGCGTTATGAATAGAGCTCTTGGTTTTTCTGTTTGCTTATGTTAATTAGCATGACCAAATTTAAGTAGTAATGGTTTTGAAAAAAATGTATGGTTGAGAGCAGTCTGTTTACTCTCATAGATGAGCCTTAATAGACGAGCCATCCACATTTAAATTCAACCCTCTCTTAGTTTGGATATTTGAAAATATAATGTCTTACTAGAGACAAGACTAATGTAAAATCCGTGGGTCTGTTTTGGGATAGGTTACATATAAAACTGCTATTTTCAGTTATTTTTATAGTTTTAGAGGTGTCACGCATTGCTGGGAGTGGTGTGAAAAAGGTTCACATAATGATACAGACAGTAAAACCATAAACAGCATTCAAGGTTATTCACTGAGCAATAATTGTTTTATATATGAGCTATGTAGTAAAGGTAATTACTCTCCTGATTGATGTCTTCTTTTTCAGATAATAGTCAACTGATACATCTGTCCAAAACCACCCAAGGTTCTCTCTTAGAGGACCATTGAGGGCACCGAGACCACTTCATCTCAATGAGGTTGGTTGGGAGTATTGGCCCTTTAGTTTTAGCCCTGCAATCTAAAACATTGCAGTTTTGTACAAATGGCAATGTTCCATTGCATGGTTAAACACATTTCTAGGGCAGTGGTTCCCAAATCAGTCTTCATGGCCCACCAGCAATCCAGGATTTATGAATTTTCCTTTTTTATTCTATTGGAGATACTAAAAAAAACTTGGACTGTTGGTGGGACATGGACACTGGTTTGGAAGCCACTGCTCTGGTGGCTATCTTTCTGAGGTACTTCCCCTGTGAGAACCGAGTCAGAATCGTTTGTCAGTCAAATGCTGCTCCTACATTTGCCGCGCATGCACACTAGCCTCCTAATACTTCCCTACGATTAACTCTTTTATTGGCTGAGATCATCAATCTTGATGATTTGTTGCAGAAAGATGAAACAGACATCACTAGAATAGCATGACAAGGGAGTGAATATAGGCAGAGCTGATCATTTAAACCCCTTATGGGCAAGGGAGCAGACAGCACAATATTTAGATTAAAACTATAGTTTTAGAAATACATGTTTGTATTCCTAATGCTACGGTGTTCCTTTTAATCAGCACTTTTGAGATTTTTTTTTATATAATGACACAATCTGATGATTATGAATCACATATTTAGACTGTTAAAAATGGCGTTAAAATTCCAATGCGAATGAGTTTATGTTTTTCATGAATGAATTTAAACACGTCTTTGACTGCTGCCTGCTATGCTGTTGTCTCAAAAAGTGTAATGAGAAAGTTGATTTTGTCCCATAAACTTCTGTGCAGAATGTGCTTAAGGGCCATATACCGTATACAACATTACTTTATCACTAATTTATCAATAGACAATTGTGAGAGCATACAAAAATTTTGAGAATGGTTAACACTGTCTGCAAATTAATAATTTGACCTGTGAATTAAAAGAGAGAAAAAAAGGAGACCATAGAGTAACACACACAAATGGTCCTGCTCACATGGTCCTGAACTTAGATAGCTGGCTCAGATTTAGAAAAGTTAAGATGGAAAAATGTGGTGGATGTTTCAGAGATCAGCCTTTTCTGTTCCCCAACTTTGCTGTATAAGTATTTCACCTTATTAATTCCAGGATGCAGGATACAGGTAAAAATAACATTTATTATTATTATTATCATTATTGTTATTATATCACCAATATGTTTTCGAAATCAAAGCCAAAATGAATAAGCCAGGTGAACTTAGTTCCCTCTCCACACTCCTCCCCCTCCAATCCCCCCCCCCCAGCTATCTGACATCATAATTGTGAGAGACCACCTGGTCACCTAGGACTGGTACATATCTCGCAACCGCCACCTCACTCCTGTTAGGCTATAATCACTACTATTTACTATTCCAGTCTGTGCCTCCCAGCCCAGGTTCCTTTTCCACGTCTCAGGAGTCATAATAGGTCGGCAGGGGACTTACTGAGGCACGGAGTGCCTGACTGGGAGCAACCCTCAAACTCTCTGGAGCTCCTGATTGGATCGCGGAATTGCTGCAGTCCAGTCAAAATTTGACATTGGCGCTTACGGTCCCAGAGCCACCTGTCACTGCACTATTTGGAGGAGTGACAGAGGAGATGACAAGGCTTCGAACAACACCAAGGACTTGAGGGAGCTCCATGTACCGACAGAAAGCGACATCATTTGAGGTGACTGGGATTTCTACCCAGTGCTATGGAACTCCCAAAGCTTCTTGGGGATGTCACTATTGTGGGGATATGGACACAGGAACCCTCGTTTTTATGTGTTTTTGTTAACCAGGTGCCAAGGTGTCTGGCCACTAATTAAATTACCTGCTCTTTTTTGTTATTTCTTAATAATAATTACTCTAGCTGCAATCACAACTGGGAGAAAGGGGACTTTGGGACCTTGGTGGTGACAATCCAGCTACTGGCTCCTATACCGCCACAATGATTTTCTGTATGTCACTGTATCAGATGTGTTCGCATATATCATGTGCTTATAGTGTATCTTTTGGGGTAAAATCATACATATCAGGAACTCACCACTATGTGAAAGCTGGATCCAGGCAGGTAAGTAGGAGATCAAAGACCAGTACCCGGAATTTTCCAATCTGTAAAGAGAGAATAGGTAAGACAGGAAAACATGGGAAATTTAAGTAAGAATTGGTTCGAGCGAGGAGTTGAACAATCGAAAGACAAAATGAAGAGAAGAGATAAACAAGCTCAGAGTTAATGCAAAGATAAGGAACACAGTCATTTATGTGAATAGTCCAGGGGTAGGGAACTCCAGATGTTGTAGACTACATCTCCCCTGATGCTTTGCAGTATTATGACTAGAAGTGAATAATGCGGGATGTAGTCCACAAATAGGCAATATATAATACAAGTGTCTTTCTGATATTGATTGTAACGAGCGCTTACCTTTCCCCGCCGGTCCCACGCAGTGCGGGGTCCTCCTCCAATACTTCCGGGGGGCGGCTCAGCTCTTCTGACGCCGGCCGCTCGGAACACGCCCACCTTTATGACGCGACGCATGCGCGCCGATGTCAGAGGGAAAATGTCGCCAAAATTCAAACGTGGCCACGATCCCGGATTTCCCGGGGGTGTGGCTTCAAAATTAAAGTCAAAGAACCCACACTATAAAAGGGCTATCATGACACTTGTCAGATGCCCTAGTGTGGTTCTTGTTTAAAGTCCTCTAGTGCTATTATCTCTGCTTGTCCTTCTTGTTATTTGACCCTTGGCTATGTCTCCATCTATTCTGTTTTCTGGTTTCCCGTTACTTGGCTTGGACGTGTGCCCGTCTTCCGTATTCCCTTGACCTCTGGCTATTCCTTTAACTATTCTAAGACGCTAGTCTGGCCATTCTAAGGTCCGGTAACCGTCTTTCTGTGGGTTTCACGCTGTGTGAAGGGGTCACTGTTGTGACATTGGTCACTGTCGTGACATTGATAATGTTGCTCCTTAATTGTAACTATCCAAATTTTTACAGATTACAGCTTGAAATACATATGCAAGAACTGTATTGGGTAAAATAGAGATTGTAGTGTCAAATAGACTTGAATGGAATAAACAAGTTGTCCGAATTCCGCAACCTCGAATTGATATGTGACTAAATCACGAAACAAACTAAACAAGGAATGAACGAACCGTTTTGTTTGTTTTCCTGATTTGGAGTTCTGTACATGGAGCCTCAAAAGAAAAAAAGAAAAAGATGATTGGTGATTAGGAGAGAAAAAAATCTATATTTATATATTACACATTTAATAAATATATAGCACATTTACTGCTCTTCTTTATTTTCCCTCTGGTTACTTCTTCCCTTTTGATCTGTGCACCAAATGGCGTTAATATGTGTTTATCAGAGTACTGCACAATATTCACATAATATACTTTCCCCCTTGAAGAGCCACCTGATTGTTGAAATGCGTGTCGGGGCTCGGCTTCG